GCGCTATCGAATTGAGATAGATCTGAGTAAATGGCTATAGCTCCTCAGAAAAGCAAGATGGGTCGACATAATACATGTTACTCTGAATGAGGAGATCCAGCTGGATCGAGTGACGCAAAAAAATCATATGTTAGTTGGCAAACTTGAGATTACTGTAGCCTTGAAGGCGGCACCCGAGATAGCATTAATAAAATGCCTATATCTCTTCAACTAAGCCAAACTGCTTGGTAAAATTTAGAATATTCTGAATCTGGGAGTTATGCTGGATCGAACAGCGAAGAGAAATTCACATGTTCCCAGGCAAACCTGAGAAGATGGTTAGCTCAAAGATCGCAAACATCCTATTGCTGTCTGAACGTATTGGTTGCTCTATAGTGATACTCTATGTTCTGTTGCTTGAAAATTGCTCAATATCACAGATGCTATTCTGACATTAGGGAATCTTATGAAGTCGCTTTTGTAAGGAAGTAGCGTGTTGCCGGATAAACCTGGGGATGCAGGTAGTTTAGGAATGGTACTCATTGTAGTGTATCATAAACATAGTGCTTCAATTCATATAGAAAGGGTTCTTATAAGAAGGGACAATGAGTTAATTGCTGAGAAGGAATTTGGGCATCTCAGGCGAGAATTGGTGTGGTCGGCAAACTAACATTTCGTTCCGTTTTTAACTGAGGTTTGTACAGTCGATGAATATTGTTCTAAGAATACTTGTTTCATTAGAAAAAAAATCTCTTTCTTTCATGCCACACAGAATTTTTCAACCGATTTGCTCCTGGTGTAGAGTGTGGAAACAGTGAGTTGTTGTGAGTGGTTAATGACGGCCCGCCGGACCATCGAAGGGTGTAATAGGGTTTTCAGTCATGAGAAACACTCATTTACATCATTCGCTTATCATAAAATGCTTTCTTTAATTGGGTACTAGGACGGAACCGAATGCTTCTAACAATAAGAACTCTTTGATGTCCAATCGAATACCACATATGCTACGTTACAATTATTAGGGTTTATGATATCTAGATTTCATCACCCAAAAAACTTACGAATTTCTTTCACGTTTGTGATAAGGTTTCCAACCGAATCGCTTAACGTTTCATCTGAACCAAAAACGAATCCAGAATCGCTCAGTAAAGAAAGGGAAAAAGTCGAAATTGAAACATTTTCGGTTATTTTTTCATTCCAATACTGAGTACTTTCCAACGTAATTTTGTTTTAATAATTACCGGTCAAGAAAAGATTTTCGAATCTGATACTGAACGCTACTGAAATTCCAAAAAAAATTCTTTCACCCAATTTTAATTTTTCACCCATTCTGTTCGGTAACGAATATAAACTAGGATGGATGCTTAAAACTTGAAACTAAAATGAGAATAGAATTTCCTCCTATCGACTGATGGAAAATTGAGTGTTCAACAATATCGTACTATTCTTTTGAAAATTTTATTGTTTTCAGCATCACAGAGCAACAATTAACAAAAATCTAAACAACTCAACAACAATAGAAAATTTAATTACATCATAAACATCTAAACACTCCACTGATTGAATATATCAGTTACAATTTATTTTGCAGATTCAGTGCATTTACAGTATAAAAGAATGTTCTAAAAAACTACTTCGCATGTAAAATTATCCGAATGCAGACACGTAAGAATATACATTCTTAAATAAAAGCTCTCATTATGCAACCAAGCATATGGATTTATGAGCACTGCCTAACACTGATAACAAGTCCAAAAAAGACATCTCAATATCACATTTAGAATCCTGGAGGGTTCCAATTGATAGTCTGCTTTACGGTGACCTTCTCAAAAACGTTGATAACATCATCCGTTTCGAATCGAACACTTTTATCAGCCAACGCTACTCCAACCTCTTGGTTCGTTTTTGCCGATGTCACTACCTATGAGAATAAACGATTTTGCACAATATTCTGTTATAACTTGAATCCATAAAAAATCCAAAGCATATTATAGATATACTTTTGAAAGCCACACGTATGCGCAAGAAAGTGATATCAGTTTAAAAAACGAGAAAAGTAATGCAAAACATGATTTACTGAGATAATTTGAAGACCAGTTCTTGCCTATCAATAAAAAGATAACACAATCACCTCAGATTCACATTTCATCGACTCAATACTTCCTTCATAATAAACTGTACTACCTCGCTGGAACTGATAGATGCAAGACCTAAACACAGAGTTCATAATTGACGAGCACAAAAATTACTTCATCCAAAATTATAATCATTGAGAAATTTTCGCTTCATTCGGAAAAGCAAAATTTTTAAACTAGGTTCTATCAATACGATCGACTCGACTCGCCTTGTGAAATTCCCCCAAACCACTCGAATACCGGCAATAGGTTGTTTTTTTCGACCTCGATCCGATAGCAAAAATTCTTTCAGTATTCGACCTTCGGCTACTTGCTTGAGTTCGGTCTTGTCGGGAAGACATGCCGATAGACGAAATTTTAAATCCTCCACCAAGCGGTAGATTACGTTGAATGATTCAACTGTAACGCTCAAGCGTTCTGCCAGACGTCTCATTGACGCATTCAAATTCGTGTTGAAACAATAGATTATGGCTAAAAGATGAACTACGTTCATTTAAGAAATGAACCTTTCATATGTTAATCGTTCAATTTTTGTAAGGCACATGCCCGTTGTTGATTACGATTGAGCTCGCTGTGCTCAAAAAAAAATAAAAGCAAACACAATCAAATTCATGATAACC